GCAACATTGAAGCCTTGTACGTAGGACTGATAAATTTGGGACAACAGAAACCTCGAATTGACACGGGAGTACTCGCGAACCTAATTCCAGCATCTCTAATTCGAGAGATACAAAGATTTGTTGGAAGTGCTAAGAACAGATAAGAAGTGCTTGGCTGCGAGACAGGAAGTTATTACTGTTACAAAGGTCTGAGACACTGTCAATATTTTCTGGTCATTCTGGAATCATCAGCAAGTGGTACTGGCTGTGACGTATTGCATCATTCACGCCAGAATTAGTTATGTGAAAGACAAATGGGGGTAGAATCCACATGAAATGGACTCTGTTACCGTCATTTTAATTGTGTTGTATTTGTGTCAAGCTTCAGACACGACCATGTTACAGTTGTGTCTTAAAGAGTTGAGAGCAATTAAGGATGATAAAGAGTCACTCGCAATTAATGTATCAAGTTTGGAGACTTGTACACATTTCAGTGCAAGAAACAAGGCAAATGGTTTTGTCTGAAGGGTAGAGGCCCACCCAAAATATAAGCCATCGCCCAGTGTCAGGACAACATGGCAGGGTGCAGTCACACCTCCACAGATCTCCAGTATCATCTATTGATACTGGTAATGGCTCAAAAGGGCCACCACTTATGGGCTATTCATGCCCGTGCCACCTTTTGGGTGGCTTAATCTTAATCTTCATCAATCGTCAGGACAACTGCAATTCCAGCTGCACCCGTGGGGCGGTATAGGGAACTATCAAATGTTGTAACTAGCTCGTCAAGACTGTAACTTGCTTACCTACAAGTGGAGCAAGTGTGGGTAACCTATATGAATGTTAGGGTTCAGTCCCTGAGTCCCTGGACATCCCGTCCTCACACTAGGCTGTTTAAAGCAGCGGCCGTCCTTCCCAGACGCATTCATAAATTTTAACATACTGTGTATTCAAAATAGTTTTGTTCTCATATATATAAATAAATATTATTATACAAATTATATGTATAGTTAGGCTTAGGTTAGGTTAGATGTTAAGGTTCTGTTGGAGATTATTCACTAAACTATTCAGTTATGCTTCTTGCTTCTTCCATCTCACACTCCATTCCCCTTTTTACTTCAAATACGTGCGTATTATCCACCCAAACACACATCCAACATACACACCTATTGAAATACACATTTTACCATCCCAAACATGTTCTAACATGTTAGACTAAGCTCACAAAACACAATACACCCTTAAGGCACAACTAAGTGAGCACATGTAGACCCCAAGCAAAAACATTTTTCACTCTTCGGCCCGGGGGGGGGGTGGCTAGTCTGGGGTGACATTGCCCAATCACTACCAAAACCAATTCACTACTACAGAAATGGGGAGGACAGGTTTATTGACAATGACACAGTAGTGTGTGAGGAACTCGAAAAAGAGATTCTAGGTTTTCACAGTAAAGCAAGAAATGCCTGAACTGGGAGAGGGAGTATTAAATCAAGCATCACTGGGGAAATTTGAGATTACCAGTGGCGAGTGAGGTAAGGAAGCATTTGCTGAAGCTGGGCATAAAGGTTGTTCCTAACTTGCATACCATACAAGGTGATGGAGAAGATTGTGAGGAAAAAACTTAGTAAAACATCAGGGACTTTGTAGAAAATAATCGCCATGGGTTCAAGAATGGTAAATTTTGCTTCCCGGGTTTAATAGAATTCCATGGTCAGGAATCTGGGGCCAGATTCACGAAAGCACTTACGCAAGCACTTACGAACGTGTACATCTTTCCTCAATCTTTGACGGCTTTGGTTACATTTATTAAACAGTTTACAAGTATGAAAACTTCCCATTCATCAATTGTTATTGTTATAAACAGCCTCCTGGTGCTTCGGAGTTCATTAACTGTTTAATAATTGGATACAAAGCCGACAAAGATTGAGAAAAGATGTACAGGTTCGTAAGTGCTTGCGTAAGTGCTTTCGTGAATCTGGCCCCTGGTCACCATCTGTTGACCGCACCTAACCCCATTTTCTGTTCCCGGGTGGAAGGCTGTAGTCTTAATGACACGTATGGTTTCTTTTGTATTTTATGATTTCTTTCCTCAGAGGTGATGTGAAAGGTACGTTGGATGGCTTAGTCCACCTGGTGTGGCCAGCAAGGGCAGTCCTGAAGAACGCAAGGCTTGTTTCCGTCAAAACCTGAAGGGCCTGATCGTTGAAGACTGTGAATTGTCTGTGGTAGCTAGCGAGCTATTGGTGTTGAAAACGAGGTATCCCGAGTGGCACAGTTATGTTCGTTGACGAGGTGTAAGTCCATCTGTCCTCAAAGTTAAGGCTTGTTAACAGTTAAGCCTTGAGGAAGCCAGCCAGCGTGTTGCTAGAGAAAGGTTTGAGACACTGTGATAATACTATGGAAGACTGGCTCGTCAATTGTTGTAAAAGTGGACTCGCCGGCGTGACTACCTCTAGAAGAAGGGCACGCAGAAGAAGCCCTTACTTGTGTGTTAGTTAGCGTGTTAGGACTCACCATGTAGATCAAAGATCGTAGTATTTTTGTGGTGTCCTGTGTGAAAATGACACGTGGGGTGTCTTCGGTATTGTATGTACATCTGGGTGTATGTTTCCTGTAAATAGTTACTTGTATATCTTATGGAAGTACATTTAGTAATGGATTTGTCTAGTGTTGTTTACCCCCCCCCCCCACTCCTTTAACGTTTTGGTTGTCTATAACTGCTCAGTTTTTGATAACGTCCACCTCATCCCTTTGTGTGTATTTTACCTCAATAAACTTATTTCAATTTCAATTTCAATTTCAATTCCACAGTTACAGCCCCGCTCCTGTGTCAGTTAAGTCCACTATGGGCTCACCATAGCCCGTGCTACTTGAAAAGTTTTGTTCAGAGTAGATGAATCTTAAATAACACAACATGATAATGTTACCCTGACTTGGGGTTCGTTCTGTGAAGATTAAACAGTAAGGCCCTACAGAAAGAGACTATAAGAACCAGAGTTACAGGCTAGATGAGGTGGGTATAAGGGAGTAGAAATAGCCTAATCTACTCCATCCCTTTCAGATGTATTTTCTTGGCACAATAAACATACTTGAAGTGAGGCGGTTACAACAGGTGACAAAAATTAGACAAGGGTGAGCAGACTGGTTATTTTTGGACAGAAAACCCTTGACAAGGTAACATATAAGAAACTAGTGCATAAGTTGGAGGAGCAGGCAGGACTGAACAGGAAGTGCTCCCGTGGATAATGGAGTACCTAACCAAACAGAAGACAGTGAATTACTGTGAGGGGCGAGATCTCAGAGTAGTAAAATATCACTAGAGTCCCACAGAGTTCAGTTCTCTGACCAATCCTGTTTTTCATATACATAATGTAAATATTCAAAAGGGATACTTATTCCACTCATGTTTGCTGATAATACAAAATCAAATAATGAAGATGATCAAGACAGCAAGAGGAACAAGATAACCTTAACAAACTGAAAGAATGGTCAATCAAATAGCTAATAGAATCTAAATAAAAGGTAATGTAATTAAACTATGTGTAGGGAGCAGAAGTTCAGGCACTAAATGGGAGAGGAAATCCTTCATGAAACAGTGAAGTCCACATGAAATAATCAAAAGTCCACGTAAGTTTATTATCAGCGGAATATTCATGGTTGGCTAACATCAGAACTGCATTTAGGAATTTGTATCAAGGACTCATTCAGAACCTTGTACTGTAAATCATACATCAGACCAATCCTGGAGTTTGCAACTAGTGCAGAGTTCAAACCTTTTCAAGCAAAGTTGAAGTTGGAAAAGATTTGAAGATATGCCACCAAACTAATCCTAGAACTGAGGTATGTATAAGTTACAAGGAAAGGCTACATGAACTGAATCTCACATTGATGGAAGACAGAGTTAATGGAGACAAGATTACATATACAAAATAGAGTAAACTAATTAACACAGGTGGAAACATAGTACCCAAATGAGCCACTAGAATGAATTTTGTCAGTGTCAGCCTAGTGATGTGGGTGAAGGAAGTCTCTACACATTTTCTCACTCGCTCTTGTTAGTACCTAAGTGGTACCCAACTGGAACTTTAATCTTAACTTGTAGTACCATTAAGATATCTAGAGGTGGTTCACCACTTCATTTATGTCTCATAAGATGCAATCCACAGTAGCATTAGTGGAGACACCTATCATGCCATGGAAACTACCTGGAAACATTTAAACTACCATTCAAGCTGTCATTGCAATCATTCTGAGCTACCTATGTGCTTTAATATACCTACAATTTTTCTCTCATCTTTTATTTTTTTCATGCTATGTAATTGTTATCATTTTTATAAATTTTGCAAGTATTTACCTACTTATAAGTTTCTTAGATTAAGGACCTGCCCGAAACGCTGCGCGTACTAGTGGCTTTACAAGAACGTAATTACTATGCTATGTATCCTCACAATCCCAATGCACCTTCTTGTATATAAATAAATAAATAAATAAATAAATAAATAAATGGAGAATGAAGGCAAGACCTAATTTATGTAAGTGTATTAAAACTAAAACAAATTTTGGATGTGACCTACATCCTTTCTTGAAGTACTGTATACAGTTCAGAACATTGTATACAAATATAAATTTGATCTTTTTTTAACATTCAATAGCGTTAGTAGTAACCTTTCATTCTCACTCGGATCACGATTTAAACTCTGGGTCTCAAAACAAATAGAGTACTTAGCTTGCAAATAAAATTTACTCTTTATATGCAATTATTTGTTATATACAACTCTGTAGAGGTTGTAAATAACTTATGGAGTTAAGAACTATGGCATTTGTTGAAATTAACACCAATATAATTGTAATCATAATCACTGGTGAAGCCTTGTAAAATACTGAATACAATAGTAGTCCTTTATTATAATTATTTATTTGTTGCATACTGTAAATACAGTACTGTAATTATATTATGCAAATGTAATATTCTTCAAGATATTTTTTTTATTAATCTCCAAGGCAGTTAATAAAGGAGTGAGAAACTTTATTCTTTTATTCAATCACTGTCCACTGAAGGTGCGAACCTCCTCAATAACAAAAGTGAATAAATCATTGACATATACAGTATCACCTAATGCCACATTCTCAAGGAAACAAAAAAAACATACTATTATTTATCTTATATCAACAGAAATGTAGTACAGTACTGATATTATATATACTGTATATATAAAATATTTTAACTCAAAATGCAAGTCCAATAAAAATTCACACAAAACCTTGTTAGGTGCCAAGAGATTTCAAATACAAATGGAAACCATTTCTAATTGGACAAAAATCCTATTTAATATTTTTGTTCAACTTCTCAAAGTAAATCAACCTATCTTTTGCATAGCTCATTTATGAAATGATTTAGTGCCCTTAAAATTATCCAAAGGTCAGATAATTATTAAAGCACTAAAATCTGTTCAATACTGTACAATAATCTTCCATAATTTAATATACGTTATCAGGCTCTTTTTTTTTTTTATTTAATATACAAATTCAATTCTTTCCAAAGGATGCCAGTGCATTCAGAATATGGTTAAGACATGAAACTAAATCAGACTGGTCAATTATTTATCAAAACAAAATATCACAAAAATACACAATGTAGCTGTGACCAAATCAGTTAAGTATAATATGCTGAAGGGAAATTACTCCTAAAAATGTAAGATTACCATATAACATACAAATTAATTCAACATATACAAAAAAGGCATTGGTTGCAGTTTAATTAATACATGTACTTGTGCATACAGTATCAAATATTACAAATATGAAATATACATAAACAATACCAGTGCTAATACCCAGACAAGTACGGAAAATGCAGCGTTTTAGACAAACGAGTTCTGTCATTAGGTTCGCATTCACTTTGCACATTCGTCCAAAAATGTGCCCCATCAAATTTAGTTTTTAATTATACGATCATGGATCTCAGTGCACTTGAAAACAAAGACCAGTGGACAGCCTGAAACCAAACAACTCCACATTCCATCCTACCAGTGAATTGATTTAATTGACAGTTGACATTAAGCTAGGCATAATTTTATGATTTGTGAATGAGAAAAAATTAGAAAGAAACCCGGTTAACTTTAAAGTTGAAATTCTGGAAGTGTTAAAACGAACAATTTAGTTCACAGTTGGATAATCTTGCCTGAATTTGACAGAAACCACCGAGACGTTCCCTTTACATCTTAAGCAAAGCAGCAGCCATGTAAATGGTGCAGAAAGGTCACGTTACGGTACTTCTTGAAACTTGATCTACTGAATTAGTTACATTTTCCATAATGTTTACATGTTTTTTACCATTATTATTCAATCAAGATCAGAGTTATACAGTAAATTTCGATATGAATAACTTAACATGATTAAGTTTAAATTTATGGTCATACACACTTCATTACACATGCATCAATATCTCTATATCCCTGCAGGCGTTTGTTGTTTAAATGCACTGGGGGGCTTCCATGATAGCCACCCTGATCATTTATAATTATTTAAGCATTATATTGTGCCAAGAGTCACAAAAGTTTAATAAATAATGAAAAACGACTCTTTTGCTCAGTTACGAAATAAAAGTTGAGGAACTATATCGACATGTTAATCTTCAACATTAACTAGGCCCTCCTAACCAAATTGTGAGCATAAGTAAATACTGCACAATAGTTTTCAGCAAATGTGTCAGGACCCTGTTTTCAAAGTTTCTAACTTGTAGGCCATAATACAGTATATACACGGTATTACTGGTGGATAATTAAAACTATGTATCAAATTATTTACATAAGCAAAGTCGAATCCTTGCCCGTCGAGTTAATGGTTTTGTTCACATAAAATATTACAGTATTAACTGATAAATGCACTCTCCTTAGTTTAATGCAGTCCGTAGTATAGTAGAGGCTCAAAAGTACTGTACCATTGACACCATAATGTGAAGACATAATAAAATATCTTATAGTATATCCACTCTGATATTGAAGTTTCTCATTACTGACGCATTATTAATGGCTATATTCTTGCTTGAAGACTAGCACAGGATAACTTTTCACCCAAAAGATCGTTTGACAGTTTAATAAGACGAGTTAGTAAATATAGAGTATAATTAGCCCTTAATAATTAAACCACTAATCAGTAAATAATAAATTTACAAGAATGAGCAAGATATTATGATAATCAGTTAATCATAATTCATTCCTAAAATATAATTAACAATTGTTCAACATAATTGTTCATTTACCCAATGCAGCAGCTAACTCTTCAGCACCGAATCAATATTTTGTGTATACAGTACCTCATTGAAATCTAAACTTTAGTCAACAGTAGTTATCATATTAAAAATACAAATGATAGTATATGTGATCCAAAAGAAATGGCAAACTCTCAAGAGTGCAATAACATCATGGGCCATGACTGGAGTCAAATTGGAACACTTTATTGAATTTTAATTATATGGCTCATCAAGGATCTACAAGAAACTTATACAAACCATAATATTAAGAGGCAATACACACTCCTTTACATTACAGTTTGGTGCAATAAGAAAATACTTACAAGAAAGGTTCTTCCCCAAGCAGGAATTCACAAGCTGTGTAATGTTCCTCACAAAAATTAACCATTATTTAACACCCTGAGACATCAGTATCCCACAGGGCCAATGTCAACTAGTTAACTATGACTAGCTAGATCATAAAATATTAAGTGCAACTGATTGACTGGAGAAATCAACCCAACACAATACCTGTTAATGTAGCACGACACCCTCATCAAGTTAGTCCATGATCTATCCACTGCAATATTACTCTGTGCAAGTTCAAGATATAGTCGGCTGCGGGTTTCCATCATGATAAACTGACAGCTTTGAAATACGTAAATAGCTTCATACAGTATTCGGTCTTAAAGAATTTTAGGAAATTTTGTCATATACCTAAGATTTACACTAAGGATTCAAGTAAATCAAATCTCCTTTTTTCTTATCTGACTAATTATATAACAATTACATTGCTTCATGGGTCATTATAAAACAAAACTATTATAAATCTTTCCTTTGATCAATAATACTAATGATGAAATTTAAAAAATAATATGAGTAAAGAGAAGCAAGATATTCATGAATATTGCATGGGAATTTTACTTCGTATTTAATACAGTGGAACCTTGGTACTCGAACAGCCTCCCACTCAAACAATTTGGCACTAGAACAGTTTATGTTCAGTACTCAACTGTGTGTTCGGCACTCAAACAAACACGCAGCCCAACGAGTCAGTTTACAAGTAACTGTCGTTCAGTGCACACCACCACTAGACTTCTCTACATCTTCTTGCATTTTCTTGGATATTTATTTATATTCTTAGTGTAAATAAGTCACTGTGGCACCAAAGTTATTTAGTGAAAGTTAGTGATAAGGGCCAATCAAAAAGAAAATTACTGGCAGTTAGAAACATGATTGAGATGAAATAAGATCTTGTAGTAAAATATGAATGTGGTGCCCACACGTCTGCTCTTGCTACCGAGTTTGCTATGCCTAAATCTAGTTCTCTAATAAAACAAATAATAATTAATAATAATTCATTGTGTTGGGGAACAGGCAGCCAGAGTGTATTTATACATGTCAGGCTTATATTGAGCCCCCCCCCAATGTCGAATTACTAACCCCACAAGAAGCTGACTGACTCATGAATACCTACCTACAGCTAGGTGAACGGGGTCATTAGGCGACACAAAATACACCCAACCATTTCAGTCCCGCCCGAGATTCAAACCTGGAATTTTCAATTGCGTGAAGAACGAACCCCGACTGTACTACTGGAACCCTCAATGTGTGCAAAATGGGGGAAAAAGTGCAAAGTTTTCTTGAAAAATATCACTCTGACAAAACTGTGATAATGGTAGAGGACTCCACTCCCAAACAATAACATTTCTTTATGAAGGTGGTGAGGGAGACCTCACCACCTTCCACATATGCAATAAACTCTCCTGAGTGCAGGTAAAGTGTATATAGTATTTTCCTTTATTAATTTATTTATTGTATTTTTGACCACCAAAATATTTATTTTTGTGGTCTGGAAAGGATTAATCCAATTTACACCATTCTCTATGGAAAAAAACTTCAGTATTCAACCTGATCAGCACTCGACTGGCCTTCAGGCACCAATTAAATTTGAGTACCGAGGTTCCACTGCAGCGATTTAAAAACAAAGATTTATTTTCCTGCATTCCATTAAAAGTTTGTAAAGTTGATTGCTACAAGATCACGATACAGTATATTTAATTAATACCTTTAACATCTTAAATATTCATTTTATCTTCACTGCTAATGTAGCCATTTACTGAAAGCAATCACATTAAAAATTTAATGTGGGCAAAAAAAAAAAATGCGCACACACACACACCAGATTGTGCTCTATCAATGAAAACATTGGCATTTAAGTGCTTAAAAAGACTAAGGCAGTGCCTGCTACAGACAACTACAAAAATATAAATGCTTTCCTTATTAAATAGTGCATCAGTTTCAGAGCAGCAGATGCCTGTGTACAGTAATTTTGAAAACTCAATTGATCAGGTATTTAGACATAAATTTGTTCAGCTCTCTCAGGAAGGCCTCCCCTCCCCCTGCTGGCCCTCCTAGGTCATCATACAACAAAAATCAACAAAACTTTTTTTCTTGGGGGAGGGGGGGGGGTTATCACTAGTGACCTAACCATTTATAATGTCTCATACCCAAAATAGCCCTTCCAATACAAAAATTCTTCCTTCAAATTATTACATATCACCTGAAGCCATCCACCAACTTCTTTCAACTATTCTGCCAAGTTCTTTCAAGTTATTACCATGAATCATCTGCAAGTCTGTGGAAATCACAGATTTTCCTGTTCTTTTTAGTGCACCATTCATTCCTTTATTTGTAAACAAAGGCATCTATTGTAAGCCACCTTCCATGAAATGTCCCCACACCCAAGCAAGAAAAGTCCCCCCATATCAGAACAACTTTTCTCCATGTTAATCATTCTCGTGACACTCAAAAAAACCACGATGCTAAATCTTATCTGCCAATTTACATCTCATGCAGTCTCCAGTCTTCCAAGCTTCCATTACACAACCATGAATATTTGTTCCTCCTAACCCCAATATACAGTATGTACAGTACCTTAAATCATGCATTGGCATTATGGAAGGTTTCAATTGTCCATCCACACAAGGAAGAGAGAGAGAGATACAGTAGAGACAATTCTCATTCATTCATTCACACACTCTCCGCATGCATCTCATTTTCACTCATTAAGGCTATCATGGTAGTTCACTTGTTCTACCTTAAACTCGTAGTTCCCATTTCTAATCGTTGACAAATAAAACCTATGCCTCTTAAGTCATATATCCTATTTATTCTATTTATTCCCACATATTTCAATAAAGCACAGACTGTTTTTTTCTCTGTCCATATCGCCTGGCATATAGAAGAATAACAAATAAGGAGAAGGGGGGGGGGGGGGAGAAAATTAAGATAGCAATAATCAACAAAAATCTCAGGATCAATATTCAGAGAGAAAATCAAGTATAGCAAAGTTCTTCTTACATCTTTTTCTGTTGTAACAACTTGGGCCATTTATGTTGTATAACAATGTGAAATTTGACAGATTTCGTCATGATTAATCTTACTTCCACCAAATGCAAAAATTAGGAAATAAAAGTAGTAGTTAAGTCTTCATTGGCAAACTTAATTAGAATTTTCAGGATTCAACCATTACACCATAATAAAATAATAAATTATGATGTTCAAGTCCAGATTTGTTCCAAAACGTCTCCAAAACTAATAATTTGTCTTTACACTTCTTAAGTCAATGTTACAAACTATAAATTCAAAAGATGATCTGTTTATTTAATAGAGAATATAGACTAATTGTCATAATGCCACACTTGGCCCCTGCCGACAATGCTATAATGCCAAGAACACTACCTTTAACGTACAAAGCTTTTTCAAATTCACATATTCATGCATTGTACATATATTTTGATACATTGAGTGTACAGTAGTTACAGTATGATTCTGCATTTTATGAATTAATCAAAACTTTAATATCATTTCACAATGCACTAGTACAGTGTATTATGCCATATGTATCCTCTTTCCATGTTATAATATACACTGAATGACTGACAATTTATTTTTTTTAATTCATGCAACAATTCTTTCACCAAGGCTCTAAAATGACTGAAATCCACCGTGAAACGTTTTTAAAGTGTTATGGTACCAATTTCCCATGATGTTACAGTACAAAACATTGTACGATTGGCTGGATATCAATTGAAATATCTTCTGCTACTTTAGCTTCCCAGGCAGCTGTCTCCTTCACCCCAACCAAGATGATAATATCTATCAATTAACTGAATTGCAATGCTCTGCTGCCAAGCTAAATCTCAACAGCAATCAGCGCTACAGAGGTAAGGTTATTGTCAAGAGAAAGTGCTATTCCATAACGACTCATGGAAGGGATGAGGATAAGGATTTGGGAAACGAGGGAGGGAAGGAATGGTGCCCAACCACTTGGACGGTCGAGAATTTAACACCGACCTGCTGGAAACGAGACCGTCACTCTACCATCCATTACAAGTGGTTGGACCAGTGCTACAGTCATCTCCTATTTGACACCAGAGAATGCAATTCCCAGTTATGTACATACAGAAAGGTAAAATATATAACATGAATGCTTTGAACTTTAGAAGACCAACATAAAAATGTCAAGAACAAATAACTGATGAACCAGTAAGTACTGCAGGATAGTGACCCATGACAGGCAGGTGAAGGCGATTCTTATGACATCAAGAAGCTGTGCTTTTAAGCCCCCGAGATGAGAGAGACTATCATCCTGTAGGTAAAATAAAATAAAACAAGATTAATGGATTTTCAACAATGATTGACAACAGCATCTGCATGCTTGCTCTCTCATACATACATTACGGTCCTATACAAAGAAATACACCAACTAGGTATAGTTTGACCATATCAGGGGAATTTACAATGGATCCTCAGGTCAGCATATTGCATGATATAAAAAAAGTAATGGAAACATGCAGTGCAGTGCAGTGATTGCAGGTGGCATACATCATGATTGAGAAACACGTACAGGAGGGTGGAACAGATACAGGAAGGTGGAACACATACAGGAGGGAGGAACATGTACAGGAGGGTGGAACAGATACAGGAAGGAACACATGGAGGAACAACAGGAGGGTGGAACAGATACAGGAGGGAGGAACATGTACAGGAGGGTGAAACAATAGAATGGTTCAACAAGTACAGAATAGATTTATGTACCCCTCCCCCCCATCCCTGATGATGGTACAGTAAAATGATTCAAAATTTTTATAATACTAGGAAGCTTTTCCCTGCATCACCATACAAAGGTTTGGAAATTTTTATGCCTACACACACACAAAAGTAGTCTCCATATGTAAAATGTACTGTCCCTAGAACATTTTGAAGAACAAAAAAATCATGTGAGAACCATAAGGTTATTCTACCAGGAATAAATAATTCTAGATAACTATTACTAAATATACAGCAATACAAATATCAAAACGTACACTAAGAGTGCATCTGGGAACCTCCAGTGTATAGGTTTTGAACCCTCATCAAGGCCCCTTGCGGATTTGTTCATTTGATATATCACGGTATTGTGATTTGTGTGTGAACCAACCAACAATCTTGTACTTACCCATAAAGGTAGTAGAAAAATGCAAGGAGATAGAAGGCTAACTTCACCCAGCCCTCACGCTGACACTGGCTTAGCACCTCGTGGTTCATTATACTCGTAGGGTCATACAATCCCGGTCCACTCATCACTGGTCGCCCTCGGTACCTACACATTACAGTAATTATTAACACCACACACTATATAATATAAAAATTATCAGTTCAATAATGTCATCCTGAAAATATCCAGGTGTGTGTGATGGCAAACTCCCCTATAGTCACATGGGAAAAATAAGACGCATTCCGTAACAATATATATTAATGTGTACATAAAATATATTAATAGAAAAATATATACTCCAGTTTAATTTATAGTAGCTACAAATTTGATTGGAAAATAAGACAAAACCCAAGAAATTAGATACTTAAATGGGATTAAGGGGGGGGGGTGCATGTGTAGGTGTAATTTCTTGTATGTGTTTGACGTGTAAGCAGATTCTATCCTTTCAAATTTGTAGTAGTTTAATGCAGACAATGTTCTCCATTTTCAATGCAAACTACAGTACTATCCAATTTTGTTCTATTGTGATTACTTTTAAAGCTGTGTACTGAGTTCCCATCAACCACTTTTTTTCAATCCATTCCATTTACGTATGCTGAAAATATTTTTATGACATTAATTCATACGTGTCTAGTTTGCATCTACAGTACTGTACATCGTTTACTGTGCGTTATTACATTAACTATGTCTAGTCCCAGGAGCTATGCTCATTATGTCCCATATTCTTTATATATTTCATCACAGACGGTTGTGAAATCTACTGTTTACACCATATACAGTACAACTATTTCTATTAATTGGACAAATATTTGTTGAGTTTCATTTACAACTGTACTTCTATAGTTTGTATCTAAGGCAATGAGTTGATAACTTGAGAGTAGAGCCCAGTTTTAACTACAGTATTATGCAACAATGGCCACTCACAAGGGAAACTACCTCCTGTCAAATCTTCATATTTATATTCCAAGACGATAGGCTATGGATGCCTCTGATAAATGACGTCATAGTACAGTATAGGTTATGGTGACCTGGCAAGGTGTCTCCACATGCTGACACTGTTCTGTCCAACTTCTGAATAATAAATGATTACAATTTTCCCTTTAATTTGAATAGAAGCCCAACTTCTATTTTTCTTGTCAATGTCTTATGTTTGAATACTGATAGTGGGTGTGTCTTTGATAATAGAGGAGTGTGACTAGCTAATATTATGGTTACCTCAGTTGGATCAAAGACCACACACCTTTAGTTTTTTTACTAAACAGTTTGGTTACTTGTAAATTGGCTACACTGTACAGTACTGTATATTTTCAGATATTTGGTATGGAGTACAACGATTCATAAATAAGTACCTGGGAGTTAGGCAATAACTGAGGATAGCATTCTGGGGAAGGTTAGTCCATGGCCAAGGTCTCAAGAGGACATCAACTTTAAAGTATTACATTTTATAGCATTCACAATCTAATCCATTCCTTTTCAAAATTCTCAATGTGGCAAATTTCTATGCCACATCATTGATTTGCTAAGAATCAACAGTCACTTCAACACTGCATTCAAAAGCCATACAGTATCACCCGTGACCTCTCTCATCTAAGAAGTCATTATTTTAAACCACATAGCATTATTTTCGCTGAACTTTTTACACCAGAACTCATAGAAATACGATGCGTGATTTTCAATTTATGCTGCCAAACACTAAACACAGGTCTAGTGCCAATGCCAAACTCATCTACCAACCACTTTATTCTCCATCATGATCACGTTTCTCCAACTAATCTGTCTTCTCCATTTCTTGTCCATTTTAAGAAAACAGATCTTATCCTTACCCTCTATATCTTGAATAATTTCAATGCAAGGCATCTTTTCTCCCCACAAATATTGATATATCCCTCCCAGACCCAACTGTGTCAAGCGTGTTTAAGATACCACTCGCTGTCAGTGTAGAGATACAGCATGCCTCCTGCAAGTAACCCCCAGTGTCTAATGTGTGTACATAAAATACCACTGTGGTCAATGAAGAACAGTTGAAAAGTCTTTAACTCATGAGGGAAGAAAGTGAATGCAGGATATTGGACATGACCAAGACATATCCATGCTAGTATCTTATCTTGAGGTTATCTTGAGATGATTTCGGGGCTTAGCATTCCCGCGGCCCGATCCTCGACCAGGACTCCTTTTTTTGTTACACACCCCCAGGAAGCAGCCTGTAACAGACTGCTACTGGCTAACTCCCAGGTACCCATTTACTGCTAGGGGAACAGGTGCATTAGGGTGAAAGAAACTCTGTCCATTTGTTTTCCGACTCCACCAGGGATCGAACCCGAAACCTTAGGACTATGAATCCCGAGCGCTGTCCACTCAGCTGTTAGGCCCCCAAGTACAGTGCCTAGCCATCAGCAGAAAGTCATATTCAACGGTGTTTTAACATATTTGATACAGTTTAAGACAGCAAATAATTTATATAATTAAATAAATAATAATAATAAGTGGCTAGTACAAAGATGCTGGGTCAGCTTGGATTTTTGTTTTTTTACAGATGGGTACAGAAACTGGTGACTTATTAGCAGGCGGAGAGCTTTCTTATCCCATGGTCATGCCTTACCCACTAGTTTTCTTAGAATACCACCCACCAATTGTTTAACAATCAGGTACCCACTACTGGGTGAAGAGAGGTGTACAGTCAAGGATTGGCCCCCCTAGTCAATCCTCCCCAGCCAGGATACAAACCTAGGCCAACTCACTGACACGGAAATCCCTCTGAATTTTCAAGGTTTCTGTTATATCAAGATACAATTTTTTTTTTAGATTATCCTGTATAGCTCTAAAATTATATAGATAAAATTACCTACTAAATAATTTACCAAAGTTCAAGACCTTAAATATAGATCATACAATGTCATTACAAATCTCTGAACTACCTGTTGATGTGGTATAAGATGAGAGGAATATTCAGCAACAGTGATACCCATTCTCCAGCAATCAAAAACAAGATGTTGAAGAGCAGATGCAGGGCATATTCTGGTAGAACTAACTGTTGAAGTATGAGAATTATCATTAATAATTTTTAACTAGTTATTTCTACATAATGTAATTGTTTTATTTATAGTCTTACATTAAAAAATTGGAAACTGTATCCATATAAGATAAGAATGACAACAGGTGCTTAAGCTTTTTTTTTGTGGAATAAAAAATATAGTTTTTAATGTAATAAAATGCTTTTTATGGCAAGCCTCTAGTAACTCCCCGAGCTTATCTCTGGTACCGCAAAGCCTAAGTCCCTCAGATTAGGCCTCCGAGACCCAATTGTCACCTACTGGGAGCCAGGACTAGAATCTGGTTCGCTCTAAAACAGGAGGAATCAGAGATCAGCCAAAAAACCAAGGAGAAAACACCGGAAGGTATAGATGCAAAAAACCAGCGTTGAATGTAATGCAACGCCATTTTTTGGGTGAGCCCCGGAGGCTTCCTGGAGCTATCAGGCTGATGTGTGTGTTATATTAGTCTGGGGCATTAGTCAATTGGAGTTCAGCCTACTGGGGACCACAAACCAGAACCTGGCCCCCCTCAGAGAGGCAAAGGGAGCAATGGCCTATGGAAACCCCATGTATTTGGAGGCATTCCATGTCTGCCATCGACCGGAGTTGGCACCCAGAAAGGTAGGCATAACAAAACAGACCCCACATGGTAAGAAAATTGCAATCGAAGACTGAACAGAGGGGCAAAACAAGCAAACGTCACACTCCGCTGATGTGCCGCTTGTCCTCGTAGCCCTCCTCTTCCCGGCAGGGGAAGTAGGAGCCCCGGACCCCCCGCACCGGCTACACAATAACTTCAGTTCGTTGGCTGATGTTGTCTGGGGGCGGATGTTGACTCTGGCCTCAAATTTCTAGGCAGTTGTGTACCTCAGAGGTGTGTTCTGCTGTGTGTGTGTGGTGCAGTGGCCAGGGGGAATTTTGAGAGCACTGGGGTTGCATGCACTTAGGCTTCTCTTCCCTAGGTGCCCTGTAAGTACAGTACTACCCTTGGGTTCTAGGGTACCCTTCCATAGAGCTTTTGGGGTCCGCTTCCGTAGGGGTCTTTGCCGCTCGGATCTTACCCCACCCTTGGGGCCAGCTGGGATTTTCGTGGTCTTTGTTTAGCCTTGAGTAGGAAGTGGTATCATTTGCTGGTAGGGGCGCAAGGTACAGCACAGCTCGCCTACCAATACGGTGGCCGGTTTCTATTCCTCTGGGGATATTGTACTTTTGATGGGGGTTTTCTTTTATTTTTTATTTTTCTTGCTTAGGGCAGTCTGCCTGGTTGGCTATTGGTCCACTTCTATTGTTTGTGTGGCCTTCCTCTAGGCCTCTGTGATTGTACACGTCGCAGGGGTTCAGCTTTAGCAGATTCCCTTGCTAGTTAGGGCCCAGGCGGTTTTGCTGTACCTTGCCTAGGCTTCCCATAGCAGTCAGCCTCCGGGCCCTGGAAATCTCCATTGGGGCTCATCAGACCTATGGATGTGTCTTCCGAGTTCCACCTTGCCTCGTGCGAATTTGAAGGTTGTTGTGTATCCTTCTCTCTGGGTTACAGTCACCATTTTTGCCTCCATCATGCTGCCTGTTGGGTCAACGACACCTTTGACATGAAGTCTTACGAGTCGTGCTCTCTGCTTGTTCTCCAAATTGCCCATTCTGATGACACTGGTATGCGGGTACAAGTGGCATCCGCATTGCATGTTAGATTTAGGTTGCTCCAAAGCATTAGGTTGGTTGCCAACCCGGATGCCCGAAGCTGCCCCGTTTTGGTTATAGGGACCCAACCTGGGGGTGTTAGTCGCTTCGACTTTGGTTCCGTCCACACTCCCTGGTCCTTCCCCTGTTGTTCATCCTGTTCCCCTCATCCCCTGCTTTCGGAATCAGGGCAGGGTTTAGTTGGTAATGAGACTCGGCAGCTTTGGGGGCTGCCCCATTTGGGTTGGGGACGGAGACATTCGATTCGGTTCCTCCTGCTGAGGCTTCTGGTCCCCACCAGCAGGCCCCCCTTCTTTTCTGCCTTTTCTTCAGCGTTAGATGGTATGGAGGACATCTCTGCCCTGGGTACTGGTTTGGAGGATCCCAGGGCTGGGGAGGAGTTGATTTGAGGGTCTTAGGCCCCCCTTTGAACCCGCTTGGCTTTTGGTGCCCTCTTCACAGAAATTGAGGGGGAGAAATGGAGGGAATGGAGATGAGAGGGAAAAGGGAAATGGAAGGGGATGGAGATGAGGGGGAGGGGTAAATGGAGGGGACGGAGATGAGGGGGAGGGGGGGTACTAGCAGGACCCTGAACTAAGGTTTGAGGTTTAGTTTGAGCTGAACTAGCAGGAGTACTAGTTCAGCTCAAACTGGTTGAGAGGACAACACATCTTCCTCCTAGAGAGAGATAAAAAAAAATTATTTTTGTGTGATCTCAACACATGTTGAAAGACTGGGGTAGGAAACCAATTCCAAACTAAACTGAAGTCAGGAAAGCCCACAGAGGCTTCCTCCTTGGCTAAAGACTATGCAAGAGCAAATTCCCACATGAATAATGTTGTGAGAGTTGAGGTAGGAGTGGATTCTAAATACTTATCAAGCATAAACTCCATATACTTATATATATATATATATATATATATTTAAGTCCAATGAAAAACTGGTCAACTTATTTAAAAGGTATAAATGTGGTCTCCCTAGGAGCCATTTACATAGCATCAATAACACCAGGTGAATGTGAGAGATGGTAGTCTCTCCAAAGCGGCAAGTGGCTCTCCCCGCCACTTAGTGACAGTGGTGTCAGGTGGTAAGTTGAGTGGCAAGTTGTGTACTTATTATAGTTTTATGAGTTTCCTTCATTTTAGATTGTATATCAGTAACCTTTCTAAAGTGCTGGTGACATAAGCTTAGAGGAGCTATTAAGAGGCCTTCAACCTAGAAATACATTGGGGTTGAATAAATACAGTACTATACTGTATATTACAATATAACATGAGCCAATACATCAACTACAATACATACCAAATGATATTCAATACATTTATGTGAGTGATTACAGTAAAACAAACAATCATCTCCAGCCAACTACATTCATAAAAAGCATATAAAAAGAGGTAAGATACTTACAGGATTCAAACTATTGCACTGATCTATTGGATTTTTGTAGTCTGTCTTCAGTTCATCAAATGCAATTATCTGCAAAAATATAATAATAGTTAACAATCAAATAACAAGAGAGAATTGTAACTGCATGGCAAGTATACCGAATATCTAAATGAGGTTCAGCAACAGCAAACTGAAAGAACTACTGAATCTGTGAGAGAAATTGGTGGCACAGATGAAAGGATATTGGTGGTAATAATAGGGGGGGGGGGTAGTAGTGATACTGACAGTGGTAGTTATGGTAGTAGGTCTATTGGTGTAGGTTGCGGTTGTAGTGATGGTGCAGTAGTGGTGCTGTTGGTAAATGTGGTAGTGGTAGTAGTAATGATATTTGTAGTAGTGTGAGGTGACTGGTAATGGTGATTATGATGGTAGTAGTAGTGTAAATGTTAAAGGTAATGGTGGTGCTTGTAGTAGCAGGGGTATGCAAGTGGGTTAGCAGAGAAAGGGAAGGATAGATATACTGTACCTATCTCTGTACAAGTACTGTTATTCAGCCAAGTGGAAAAGGATCCTAGTTAGGTACAGTATATATAGAATGACATTTTAAAATACTGTATTACTATCTGAACAGAATATATTAAAAATGAATGTTTAATAATACAAGTAAAACTACAGTAATTCAATGTTTTAAATAATTCATCAATTTATATTCTGAGATATTGATCTGAAACCGTTTCTGACAGCTATTCCAATCACTATAGTCATGATAAAATTACATCTTAAATTTACAATCTATATATTACTGTAGTATGGTTTTAAGCCAGGCAGTACACATTCCAAAGTAAATTTAATATATTTGGCCATTTTGCTAAAAATACACAATAAACATGTCAATTGCAAAATCTCCTAAATATTGGTCACAATTACTGAATCTAGGCAACTGTAATTATCCTGTGGTGCAGTAATACTGGAGCAGCTATGCTTATTTGTTTATAAGGTATCAATGGGGATCACAACTCCCCATTGATTATCAACACTTTCACAGTCTGACCCTTCATAGCATGCTCAGCAATATATGGTCTGACCTTCTCTGGGGCCCTGCTCAGCCTGGAGGAAAATGGTGAATACTATACTTGAGATGAACCCATACCAATGTTTTGGCTACCATCAATATTGACTTACTAATGCCAACTGAGAATACAGTACACCTAAAATTTAGATGTCCAAATACAGACTTTAACAATACTTTATATTGTATTATCAATAATATGATAATTTATATCATATTATCATCAAAAAGTCTAAATGCAACAGGTTCTCAAGTACCGTATTGTGGAAAATCCAAGATACGTCCATCTATGTGTATATGTAGATTTGTCATTTTATTACTATAATCTTATCTTATGAAAATATAGCATGACAACTTATTTTATCAAATATAATTTGTTAGCATCACTATAGACTTATTAAATATTATACTACAGTAGTTAGATATTACTCATTGTAACCTCTCATTAAAAATTTATATCAACATTGCTTAAGTTTATATTTTATTATACAGTACTAAGGATGATATCATATTCAATCTTTAAATATTCTATTTTATATACAGTATTTTGTTATATATCATATCAAGATAATATTTATTAAGATATTAAATTACTCCTCTTTGTTAAAACAAAATTGTATTTAATAAACAAATTTCCTTAAGATACATTACATTCACATTACAACTCAGAACTACTACTTTCTCTGACTTAAGATACTACTGCACTTATTTTAACTACAGTACTTATAATAATTCTTTGATATAGATTTGTACTTGCATGGTATTTTATAATAAATTATAAGTTCTTTTATACTTTTGAAAGAACATGAGGACTTGACATAGGCCAATAGGCCTCCTGTGTAGTTCCTTTAATTTGTTTTGATGGGGACAGGAAGCCTGTGTACATATATCCTTTAGGATTGTGTAGAGGTCTTCCCACGGTCAAACTACTGAGCCTCACCAGCATGCAACTCCACAACAGTTGCCTAAATCTAAGGTACTTATTTACTGCTAGGTGAACAGGTATATTAGGTGAAAGGAACCATGACCAACTATTTGTCCTGCCTTGGAATCAAACCCAGGATCACCAATTTGAGTCGAAAACGAAGTCACCCGGATTCTTATCCAGACGAACACATTCATGTCAAGTTTATTCTTGGTAAATGAACTCAGTTTACTTGTGTACAATATTTTACATTCACTGAAAAACAACTGTACATAATTTAGACTGTATTATGTAAACCATCTGTACTTGCCAAAGTACTTTTTATAAACAAATAAAATGCTGAAAACACAGATATTTTGAACCACAACATTCCACACCCAAAGTGCTAGCCACTTGCTAAACTGGAGAATATGAGGAAAGAGATGACAAGAGCCCCAACATATTACATGGTACATTACCACTAAAGTCCTAACACAACACACTAGCAACACAATGCCCTAGTAACTGCCCTAGCAACACAACGCTCTAGTAACACAATGCCCAAGCAACACAACACCCTAGTTACAGCCCTAGCAACACAACACCATAATAACTGCCCTAGCAACACAGCATCATAATAACTGCCCTAGCAACACAACACCATAATAACTGCCCTAGCAACACAACACCATAATAACTACCCTAGCAACACAACACCACAATAACTGCCCTAGCAACACACCATAATAACTACCCTAGCAACACAACACCACAATAACTACCCTAGCAACACAACACCATAATAACTACCCTAGCAACACAACACCACAATAACTGCCCTAGCAACACACCACAATAACTACCCTAGCAACACAACACCACAATAACTGCCCTAGCAACACAGCACCATAATTACTGCTCTAGCAACACAACACCATAATTACTGCCCTAGCAACACAACACCACAATAACTACCCTAGCAACACAGCACCATAATTACTGCTCTAGCAACACAACACCATAATAACTGCCCTAGCAACACAACACCATAATTACTGCTCTAGCAACACAACACCATAATTACTGCCCTAGCAACACAACACCATAATAACTGCCCTAGCAACACAGCACCATAATTACTGCCCTAGCAACACAACACCATAATTACTACCCTAGCAACACAACACCACAATAACTACCCTAGCAACACCCCACAATAACTGCCCTAGCAACACACCACAATAACTACCCTAGCAACACAACACCATAATAACTACCCTAGCAACACAACACCACAATAACTACCCTAGCAACACAACACCATAATAACTACCCTAGCAACACAACACCACAATAACTACCCTAGCAACACAACACCATAATAACTACCCTAGCAACACAACACCATAATAACTACCCTAGCAACACAACACCATAATAACTACCCTAGCAACACAACACCACAATAACTGCCCTAGCAACACACCACAATAACTACCCTAGCAACACAACACCACAATAACTACCCTAGCAACACAACACCATAATTACTGCCCTAGCAACACAACACCATAATTACTGCCCTAGCAACACAACACCATAATTACTGCCCTAGCAACACAGCATCATAATAACTGCCCTAGCAACACAGCACCATAATTACTGCCCTAGCAACACAGCACCATAATAACTGCCCTAGCAACACAGCACCATAATTACTGCCCTAGCAACACAACACCATAATTACTACCCTAGCAACACAACACCACAATAACTACCCTAGCAACACACCATAATAACTACCCTAGCAACACAACACCATAATTACTGCCCTAGCAACACAACACCATAATTACTGCCCTAGCAACACAACACCATAATTACTGCCCTAGCAACACAACACCATAATTACTGCCCTAGCAACACAGCATCATAATAACTGCCCTAGCAACACAGCACCATAATTACTGCCCTAGCAACACAGCACCATAATTACTGCCCTAGCAACACAGCATCATAATAACTGCCCTAGCAACACAGCACCATAATTACTGCCCTAGTAACACACCACAATAACTCCCTTAGCAACACAACACCATAACTACCCTAGCAACACAACATAATAACTACCCTAGCAACACAACACCATAAGTACTACCCTAGCAACACAACGCCTAGGCAGTAACACCCTAACACTAACACAAAGCCCTAAGACTGCCACGAAGACCTAACACTAACAAACATTCGAGCCTTAACACACCCTAATACGAGCGATAAGCAGCAAAGACCATTTTAATTTGAATTCAGAGCCGAACCATTGCGAGTGACCAACCTTGCCGGTGAGATTAAAACCAGCGCTTGACACTTACGTGGAAGATGGCAAAGAATATGAGAAAGGCATCGACTATTAGAGCAATAATGTAAGAAAATGCTGCAAACGTGAAGGCCATGTTTATGTTAGGGAGTGAGTCGCCGGCGCGATGGTTCTCACTTCACTTGCGAGGTGAATATTATATATAAAAAAAATGAATTCACTCTCTCATCAGATATATACATAATATATTTGATCGCATGACCTGTTTCATTGAATATTATGATAAAAATTGCTTTATAAGTGAGAATATTATATTTTTTGTTATGCAAGGAGTCAATGAGCCCAACTTGGAATCGCAATTTGTCAAAATAACCAAATTATTATCAAATAAATAACCTACATGGAATTTGTAGTCAGTATAATTAACAAATAATTGCTAATATTTATTCAAGTGCTCTTTCTAAGTTTCTGTAAATATTTTAGTCACACGTTGTACTCTGCAGTAGGCCTGTACATCATTCCTTGGTCGGGGGGGGTGCAGGAAGCCTGTTCATTAGGCCTATCATGATTCACCTTACGATAGATACAACCCACGACATTTGCCTAACTCCGGGTACCTATATACTGTGGGTAAACAGTTGGATGCGATCTCCCGTATCAGCTACA